GTTCATCATCCAATTCATCCGTGGACATTGGAGAATATTCCAACAAGAAACTTTTTACATGACCCAGTTCTACATAGAAAGGGACCGGTGGTTGAGTCGAAGGGCTTGCGGTTGAGGGTGGATTTGTTGGCGTGCCGGTGGGTGTCCTTGTTGGGACTGGATTAGTTGGTTCTGGCGATGGTTGATCTGTTGGCATGGGCGTGGGCCTTGGTGTTGGCTGAACTGTCGGAGGGCTACTTGTTGGTTCGGTCACTGGGCTTTGAGAAGTTTGGTGTTGGCTTGGATGTTGGATTGTTAGAGTGGCTGTAAAGTAGTTTCCGCCACAGAACCTGATGAGGTTGGAGCGGTGGTTGGTTTTGATACGGGTGGAGCTCCAGCTACCGGAGGCCTGGTCACAGGGCTAGATGTGATAGGCACAGTTGTCGCAGGTGCAATCGAAGGTGTCGTCGTTGTCGCCGTCGTCGTTGGTGCATCACTTGGAGTTGTTGTGGGAACATCGGCAGGAGAGACAATGACAATGGTTGTGTTTTGGTCGCTGTCCACAGAAGGGTCTACAGTAGGCAGAAGAAGAGTAGGTGTTGGCTCGGCTGTAGTAGGCAGAAAAAGAGTAGGTGTAGGCTCGGTTGTAGGAGGGGATGACGGAGGGGACGATAGTTTGGTTGGAGATATTGTCGGCTCTCTGGATGGTCTAAAACTGGGGATGGCGCTTGGCAGCTCCGTCGAGGTTGGAAATCCAGTTGGGACAGCGGTTGGCGTCGTTGTTGGTAGAAAGGTTGGATAAGCCGTTGGGATACCAGTGGGAATACCTGTGGGAGTTTTTGTTGGTGAACCTGTGGGGGCCGCGCTTGGATCAGAAGTCGGGGACCTCGTTGGTGAATCAGTAAAGGGCTTGAACGATGGTGCTCCAGTGGGCATCCAAGTGGGTATACCTGTGGGTGCCCACGTAGGCAGCCTCGTCGGCCCTCTAGCAAGAACGTGAGGACGCAAGTTTGTTGGAATCCCCACAGTTGGACTCGTGGTGGGCCATCGTGTGGGCCATGGTGTTGGATACGGAGACGGAGACCAAGTAAGGGGGTTCCCAATCTCACCCAAGCTAGTCGATGTACTCGTAGGACTTGCTGGTGAGGTTGTGGTGTCGGTGGTCGTGCCATCGTCGGCGTAATAGTTGCGGTATACAATCAGCGCTGCTACCAGCCCCGTGGTCAAGACAAGGAAAAACAAGGCGAAGCCAATCAAGAGGCGATGAGTATACCATCCTGACTTGTACCTGTCATCCATCATGGCGCCTTCACCTTCCTCTGCAAGTTGTTTGGTTGCTGCTTTGCTTGCACCACTCTGTCGATGCGAGGATGATCTTCGGGGTTGCTCTGGAACTTCCTTTGTTCTCTTGGATTTGTTATTTGTAGGAGACTTGCTCCTTACAGGGTCGTTCGCCACGAAGTTCTCTATTGGGCTGTTGTTCCAGTTACGAGCCTGAGCCTGGGGGTCCGGATCAGTGCCATCTTGAACGTAAATGACATTGGGGATAATGAGTTGGCCATTTTTTACATACGCTTTCTGTGATCCAGATGGGTTATGCGAGGGGGTCAATGTGGAGAGTTGACCGCCTGCAATTGTCGAGGGACCGCCTGCAATTGTCGAGGGCTCCCACCCAATGGCCTTGCTTCCATGCCCCAGAGTCGTATCGTCTTCCAGGGAGGAGTTTCCACCTCCGTAGCCCGTGTTGTTCAGTAATTCCTGTCGGGCGCTCTCTGCCATTAGGCTGTCGTCTTGATCCTTCCCCTCAAGGGCACGGGCCTCAGCCTCTTGTTCCATCATATACTTGAAGTAAGCATTTTCAGGATCATCTCCCCACAGCATTGCAGACTCTCCGTCAATCGAATAGTCGGAAGATGGGATTACCTTCCTACCCTTCTGTTGTCATTGTCGCTCATGCCAGGAGCCTCTCCTCCCGTAATGTCTCCATCCAACATGATAGGGCTCATGTCATAGGCAGCCTTCTTTTTTGCAAACTCTCCTTTTCCTAGAGTCTTTCCCGCTACTCCATTCGTGTCAAGGTCTTCATAGGTGGAGCTATTCGGAAGCATCTTGGGGGTTTCAGCTTTGTTTTTTGAAAGAGTAGTTATTGCCTTGTTCCAAAGATTTTCTGTTTCACCCATGACATCCACGTATCCAGTATTATCTGCCAGTAGAAACTGTTTGTCTTCCTTGGGCTTTGGTTTGCTGCTGCTATCGTCATCCTGAAGGGTGCCGTCTTCTAGAGCTTGCTCTGGGGGCGGAAAAAGATCCATCTGCGCCAATGCATCGACACAAGAATCTGCAACTGCATTCGCGAACAGCTCATTATTGTGGTTGGCGCTCAGATCATTTAGGCTGACATCTGAACTGCCCGTACTGGAACCTGTCGTGCCGCTCATGGTTTGCAATAGCAATATTCTCTTGGTGGCTCAGTTGTCGAAGGCTACAGCGAAAGAAAGATGAATCCAAGCGATGGTATACCAACTGCTAATGTAACTTCTCTTGCTCACTCGAAACTTCCACTGGCTCGTAGAGTTCTCTTTGTGTTTTACAAAGGCTTCGTGTGGTGCTACCAGTAGAGACGGTGCTGTGGCCAGCCGTCCAATGGTACTGCTTCGAAAATGTAGGATCTCCAGCGCAAATTTGTTAGCCTCATTTGTTCACTTTGGGGGCAGACTTTGTCAAATTGTGAGGCACTGGTAGAGTGGAAACTAACTATTTTCCGTCTGGCTGTCTCCCCAATGTACAGGAGGATACGATATGGAGCTTTTTCATGGTGCGACCACAGTCGTAATTTGTGCCGCTACGGCCCTCATCGCAGAGCCCCGTCAAAATTTCGCTCCACATGAACCTTGAGCGCGACCTCCCCCCGAATTTGGCCACCTGAAGCCACGCCGTTCCTAACTCAAAAAACACGACAGGCTCCTAATCCACGGGATGCAGTCCCGACACACACACATCAGCTCGACTGGCTCCGGTCCAGCTTTAGCTACAGTATCAATGGTTGGCCGGGGTGGACGATACGGGTCGTCCTTGAAACTGGATTTGGAAAGTGTGCGCTGGCAGAAAATTCCCTCGATTTCTACTTGTATCGCTAGCTAGCTAGAAGAGCTATCTCGATGTGTCTAGCTAGACTCGCTAAGGTTGGTGGGTACCACAAGTACGGTACGCAGCTTCGGGCTCATCGTCCACTATCAGTATGGTTGCAACAAATCAGCTCTAGTAGAGGTCGAAGGTTTGTTGGCTCCTTGAAGTAAGTGAAGCTCAGTATGCACGCGAATTGCAAGGTTTGGGCATTCTGCAAGTTCCATGGCCATTTGACCCAATGCCCCCTGTAGACGATTGGAGCTCTAGCTAGCTACTCTAGAGAGAGGTGACGAGAGGTCTGCTTTCATGCTCCCACGCTAGTATATCGTTAATTCATAAGACATTGACTGATGTAAAGTGCAAAGCATCGCGGCAGTGTGTGAAAGAAAGCAGTCAAACAAGCTACTATGACCAACATGATTGTTGTGGTTTTGAGTCTCTGGTGACGTTTTTTAGCCAGCTAACAGTTGCATTATTTGTTCACTAGCTAGTTGGTGCCTGCCACAGCTAGAAAGATTCCTTATCAGTATTTCATGCCGCCGTTACAGAGCCACAATCTTCGCCAACCGATACGGTACTAGTTGTGCTTTTGGTGGAGTACTGTAGGCCATGGTGGGCACGAAAGCCGTCACTAGCCTCAATCCGTCCAATCAATGCGAATTGGTCGACCTAGCAGGTTCTTTCCATTCAATGTAGCAGCCTTGTCGCAGGCTTCCGAGTTCCAGAACTCCACAAATCCACTGCCACCAATCCAGAGCGAGTGAAAAGAAAAAGTTGGTCAGAACAAGTCTTGAGCAAGCACCGTGCCAACCGTTACCACATGATTGTTTATTTATGTTACGGAAAGAACGTACCATCCCTTGAAATCACCAGTCTCCTTATGCGACAACCACCGGACGGCCTTGACTTCGGCACCGGCATTGTCAAAGAACTTGGTAATGGCGTCATCGTCAATATCATAGGAGAGATTTCCAATAAAGAGTTTGACACAATTGTCGGGTTTGGCTCCCATGGCTTGGACACCGCTTCCTCCTGCTTGTCCTCCTTTTGCGTTTCCATTTCCCGAAATGACCTTGTTTGCCGGAGGCCATACATCCCCCGGTCGCGCGGGTGCAAAATTGATTTTGACGGGACGTCCCATGAGTTTGGATCCGGTAGTTTGTTCGACGGCCTTTGCGGCGGCCGATGGGGTATCCATTTCGATAAAGGCGGAACCGTAGAATTTTCCAGTTTCCTTGTCGGTGATCCATTTAATGTGCGTCACAGTGTTGGGTAGAAATTCGCTCAAGGAAGTTTCGTCGACGGCAAAGGGTAGATTGCCAAGGAATAAGCGTGTCACACCACCGGGATTTCCAGGACAAGGAACGCCTTTTTGAGAATTTTGTGTTTCTTGGTTTTCTGGTTCATTGTCATGTTGTTGTTCTTCCTCCTCATTACCTTGCTGTTCCTTGCTGTCCGCCTCATCATCGTCTTCTTCTGGAGCATCTTCTTCCTTTTCCGGTTCTTCTCTCTTTTGTTTCTTTTTCTTGCGTTCCTTCTTTTCTTCCTTTTTCTTTCGTTTTTTATCCTTCTTGTCCTCTTTTTTCTTTTTGAGGTAGGATACAACTCCATTGGCATCAATGGTGAGACATTCCTGCTGCTCGAGTCCCTTCATTGCTTTCTTGAACGCTTTCTTGCCCTTTTTATCGGATTCGTCGAGTTCCAGGTTTTGAAGGACTCGTTTTCGCAATTGCTTCACATCCACAGTCTCTTCTCCTTTCTTAGTTTCCTTCTTGAGGGACGACAGAATCACCTTGTCCCAATCATGGTCTGGTTGCTGTTCTTCGGGCATGTTGATATCGATGGTGGGGGGTTGCTTGTGTCGATATTTTGTGGATCCTTCGAAGAAAATGAGACAAACAAGAAAAGGTTGGGCTTCCGAAAGAGTTTGGAAAATGTTGGGTGGTGGTGAGTGACAGTCACGAACTTCAGGAACTCGGGACTGAATAATGACGTCATTCAAATCAACATCTCTCCCATCTACCATCTCCTTGCTGTCACACCATCGATATCAGCCATATCTTGCATTACAACGAGCTGTAGAACTGCCAATATACTACCATCTATTGATATTGCAGGAGGACTGATACGGTAGGATCATGACTGTCTTTAGTAGAAATTTTATACCAGTTTTGAGTTTGGTGCTTCTGGTGGCAGCCTCTGGCACCTTGGCCTTTTCTGCGTCTCTCCACAATCGGTTTGCCGTTGGTGGTATCCACACATCATCATCATCCACAACAACCAGAAGAAGCACTACCAGTCTCTGGGCCAAGGCGGCCAAAAAGAAAAAGACCAAGACCAAGAATAAGAGTGCTGCCGCCCCAGCCGGAATCAAAGGATTTGGAGGTGCTTCTACTACTACTGCAGCTTCTTCTTCTTCCAGCAATGTTGCCACGGACCGGTCCAAACCAGCACTGGCGTTTTATGACTATATGGAAGAGCAACAACACGGAGCCGGTGGCAATTTGAAACGTGCCGCTTTGGGTTACTTTGGATCGTTGCGAGGTGTCGTGGCCATGCGAGATTTGAAAAAGGGAGATGCCATTATTGATATCCCCTACGAAATGGCCATTAATCTGGGTCAAGAAGGAGGAGATCCCACTCTGCCAGCGTTGGAATTGTTGAAGGATTATTGTCAACAACAACAGCAACAACAACCAGACAACAACAACAATCCGCGCAAAGCCTACTATGACATGCTGCCTCCCTTTCGCGGAGACGATTCCCTCGGTAGTACCGATTTCTTTTCGGATGCCGCCTTGGAGGCATTGCAATCTCCCACCGTCGTGGACGAAACGCTGAAACGACGACAACGGTGTCAAATGCGATTCGATCAAGATATCGACGAATCATTTCCCCGTTGGATCGATGGTACCCCCGTCACATCCGAACACTTGCAATGGGCCGTATGGCTCATTACGTCGCGGGTCTTGACGGTGCAAGGGGACAGTAGTGAAGGCAAATCCTATCGACTCTTGATTCCCTTTTTGGACATGTGCAATCACGATCGATCCAGTCCGCACATCTTGTCGGGGCGGGCCGTACCGGGAGGATCTCTCAAAGTTGTGGCGGGGGCTCCCGTCAAGGCGGGAGAACAAATCAATATTGCCTATGGTGGTGGCGTGGCCGGCAATGATCGGTTCTTGCAAGATTATGGATTTCTAGACAGTGATGCGAAAGCCAATGATATTGTTGCCTTGCAGTTGTTGGGGAAACGTCGTATTTTGGAAGGTGCCGGAGCCGGGAGAATCATGGCCGAGGCAGATCGAGAAGCAGCATTGAAACTGTTGCGATCCACGACTATGGATCAAGATCGGGTATTGCTAGAAGAAGCAAAAGAGGATCCCGGACTACGGTCCGCCATACAGTTCCGGTTAGGTGTCAAGCAAGCCCTTTCCAAACAAATTGTAATGCAATAGATTTATTGTTTTTGTTGTTGTTCAGTTGATATCTTACTATTATTGGTTGTACTGTAATAGTATGTGCAATCTCTTTCTCTAGTTTGCCTATGTACAAGTCATTTGCCGTTCACTCTGCAATCGATGTGATCATAATTACACCTCAGTGTGCTGTCATTCTTTCCGTTCACCAGACAAATCTCTTCCAAACAGTCGCTTTCCAAGTCGTGGAACTGCGTTATCGTCGTCTCACACCACTCTCTTCTCAACAATAGTTTATTAAACACTCAGATCAATATCATCTTCATCTCCCAAAAAGTCCGGTTCAAACTTGTTCAAACGTTCCTTGGGGTCCTTGGCGTCGATGCCCGCAAACTTAGCCACACCCATCAACTCGTCGAGCTCGGCCTTCCTCATGGCGTCCTGGTCGCTCTTGACATTGCGCATAAAGTCACCTCGATCCGTCATTTCGTAGCCCTGAAACGCCTGGCGGTCGCTCTTGGCATACTCCTCGGAACTAATTTCGCGACTCTGACCGATGCCCCAGCCACCCGTGGCTTCGTTCAAGGATGTGACTTGGCGTGTAATCGGGGTCGTTCCTACCAAAAAGGCATGAGTAGAAGACGCAAGAAGCAGCAGTGAAAGGAGTTGTTTTGTAAAGGAGGTCATTGTGTTTCTCGATAATCTTTCACTAATGGATGAGTATTTGAATGTCTTGACAAAGCGATTACTGATGAGATAACGAGGGAACTAACTAGACTATGACGCGTTGAATTTGCTGTAGCCGACGGGATCATGACATGGTCAAGAAGCTACCAAGGGCGCGACGGAAGCAATTGAGAAGGAAGAAAAGCGCAAATTGATGACGTGGTCAATCGTAACGATCATGTGTGCATCTTTCAACTCAACGACTGTTGCTCCTCTGTGCACCGCGGTGGCACAGCGTACGGTACAGTCGTACTACATACCGGTACATGTAGTCCCGTCGTGGGCAGTGGTGCCGCTGTTTTGTTAGCGGTGGTGTGCAGTGGCTCCATGCCTAAAAGCACTGGTGAGCATGGGGTGGCATTGATGTTCTCCACTCCCCGGGAATGTGCACTTGTGGCTAGCTGCTAGGCTAGCAGCTAGCTACAAGGTTACGTAGTAGTTCTAAATGAAGAGGACCCCCATTTTAAGGTTTTATTCAAGTATGATATTGACAAAGATCCCGTTGGACTTGTTGAAGAGCCACCCCCCCAAAACGATTATTATCCCCATTCTCTTTGTCATTGGCAGCTTGTCACCCCCCATGCCTTCTGTGCACATGCCCATCTTCTCGATCTCTGCTTGTGATTTGACCAGCCTAGAAACTCAATGTTGTGACATTGCCCCGGAAGTCTTGCCCACAGCAAGACTACCCCCCAGTGGTTGAACTAGAACTTGCCATAATGGTGTTCATAAATATGTTGCCTTCTGGAAGGACACTTGGAAGGTAATTTTGGATGAAGCTGCTCAAGTCAGCATCTTGGATGGCCTGGTCCACTTCTGCCTGGGAAGGAATAGTTGCTCCATCTGCAAAAGTTGTTACATCATCATGATTGATCATTGCAATTGTGAATGGCCCTGCCACATTACTGTTTGAATCTGTCACTGTAGCTGTGAAACTCATGAAATCAGCACCAAAAACGTTTGTAAGCACATCATTGTAAAATTGATTGACTTGCACCATGAGGCCATCAATTTCTGTCTGGGTTGGCAATCTTCCAAAGGTCTGTGAGATGACAAGATTGAGCAGTGAAGATGTTGCAACGGAGCCAGGAGGAGTCGGTGCTGTTGTAGCTGCCATGCTAGGAGCAGATGTTGTTTCCATCATTGTTGGGGCCGTCGTATCTCCCATGGTAGGAGCAGTTGTTGTTTCCATCATTGTTGGGGCTGTTGTATCACCCATGGTAGGAGCAGTTGTTGTTTCCATCATTGTTGGGGCTATGGTTGTAACATCCATGGTTGGAGCAGTTGTTGTTTCCATCATTGTTGGGGCTATGGTTGTAACATCCATGGTAGGAGCAGTTGTTGTTTCCATCATTGTTGGAGCTGCAGTAAGTGTTGTTGGGGCTGTGGTTAGTGTTGTTGGGGCTGTTGTTGTGTTGTGGGGCTGTTGTTGTGTGGTTGGGGCTGTTGTTTGCGTCGTTGGGGCTGTGGTTAGTGTTGTGGGGCTGTTGTTGTGGTGGGGCTGTGGTTAGTGTTGTAGGGGCTGTGGTTACTGTGGTCGGGGCTGTGGTTACTGTTGTCGGGGCTGTTGTCAGTGTTGTAGGGGCCGTTGTCAGTGTTGTAGGGGCTGCTGTCAGTGTTGTTGGGGCTGTGGTCAGGGTTGTTGGGGCTGATGTAACTGTTGTTGGGGCAGAGTAAGGGTGGTGGGGGCACCTGTGGCTGTTGTTGGGGCTGATGTAAGAGTGGTGGGGGCAGCGTAGAGTGGTTGGGGCTGCTGTGCTGTTGTGGGGGCAGTAGTCAAGGAGGTGGGGGCTGCTGTTAGTGTTGTAGGGGCAGAGGTCAGTGTGGTGGGGGCTGCTGTGACTGTTGTTGGGGCTTCTGTGAGTGTAGTGGGGGCTGCTGTTTCTGTTGTTGGAGCTGAGGTAAGTGTGGTTGGAGCTGCAGTGGTTGTGGTTGGGGCTACTGTGAGTGTAGTGGGGGCTGCTGTTTCTGTTGTTGGAGCTGCTGTAAGTGTGGTAGGAGCTGCTGTAGTTGTGGTTGGGGCAGCAGTAAGAGTGGTTGGGGCGGCAGTAAGGGTGGTTGGGGCTGCTGTGAGTGTAGTGGGGGCTGCTGTTTCTGTTGTTGGAGCTGCTGTAAGCGTGGTTGGAGCTGCTGTCAGGGTGGTGGAGCTGCTGTGAGTGTGGTTGGGGCAGCTGTAACTGTTGTTTGGAGCAGCTGTCAAGGTGGTTGGGGCAGCTGTCAGCGTGGTTGGGGCAGCTGTCAATGTGGTTGGGGCAGCTGTGATTGTGGTTGGAGCAGTAGTCAGCGTGGTTGGGGCAGTAGTCAGGGTGGTTGGGGCAATTGTCAGTGTTGTTGGAGCAGCTGTCAGGATGGATGGAGCAGTTGTAAGTGTGGTGGGGGCTACTGTTGAGCTGGTCGGGGCAAATGTCAAGTCGGCAGTAGTTGATGATGAAGGGCTACTAGAGATCGAAGGAGCCAAGACTGATGATGGGTTTGACGATGTTGATGGCTGTGTACTTGTTGTCTCAATGCTTGATGGAGCCAAAGAACTGGAAGGAGCAGAACTTCCAGTAGCAAATTCGGAAGGGCGGAAGCTCGCAGAAGGTTGTGAACTGACGGAAGGCTCTGCACTAGGGGTTTCACTGGGCGTAATGCTTGGAAGGATGCTAACTGATGGTATGGCTGAAGGTAGAGATGACGGAGTAGTGGATGGTGTTGATGAGGGCAACTCACTGGGCGAAGTTGATGGGAATGAAGAGGGTGCGTTGCTCGAGGGGAGCGCAGAGGGATAGCTTGATATTGAAGGAGCAATTGACGGTTCGAGAGTGCCGGACACTGGTGAAGATGGTTCCCGAGGGAATGGTGGTCCTGCAAAAGGCGGGAACACCCCATTGAATCCAGGTCGCTTTATTTTTAGAATGTCGCAATCGTCCCTTCGATAGCTTCCCTTCCCTTTGCCTTTCCCGTGGCTTCTACAACTTCGTCGTGGTCTGGTTCGAATGTATCCCGTGTTGGCTATATATCCTGTGTTGGGAATGAACCCTTCACCACCCTTTCCCTTGGCTTTTGACTTCGAGTATCCACCCTTACCCTTACCCTTACCCTTTCCCCCGTCATATTCGTAATGGTACGGGTCGTAATGGTACGGGTCATAGTAATAGGGGTCGTGGTATCCCTGTGGGAAGGGACGAGTACCAGTAACATCGGCCGTCCGATACACGAATCCTTCGCCTGGACCGGGGCCATCCCGACTGACACCAGTATAAAAGCCATCGTAGCTATCACTGCTGGAATCGTCACCACTACTGCTCCTGCTTGACCATCTACTTTGGTATCTGCTGCCGCTTCGGTAACTGCTCATTCGTCGATTGTTGAGTGGGAACACGTGATCCAAAAACCCGCCCCGGTTCCCCAGTCTCCGTTTCTGCTTTTTCGTTATTATTTCTGGAGGCGAATTCTTGGTAGAAGTTTTCTTGAGCCTCATTCGTTTTGTACTTCCCTTCTTTCTGCTGCTTTTCTTGCTTCTGTTGATGCCCCTTTGTCGCATATTGTTGCGCAGGTTCCCCATCCGTTTCGTTGCACTCCCGTTGCTGGTCCCCACGAGTAACAAAACAAGAAGCAGCAGTGGGGCTAGTCGATTCGATATTACTCTCTTACGCATCGGAAGGCTTGATGGATCCTATAGAGCATTGTCAAGCGTCCTGATTCCATGGAGCGAACGTTTGTTGTCCATTTTGAGCCAAGGAGAACTTGAGAAGAGAAATTATTAACCGTTGAGAGAGATTGGGCGCACCTCGACTCGAGGTGCGCCAAGTTAGAAAAGCCAGTTAAGCTGGCATGATTGAAGTCAGGTCAAAGCTTCAAAGATTGAACGTCAAAAGAAGATACCAAGATACCTCAAATTGTTATCTCAGATCTCAGATCAGGAAGGAGGCAGAATAGAAGAGGAAGCAGCTTCAAAACTCGAGCTAGTAGAGACAAATCAGATGGTGCATAGATTACTGACGCTCTTCTTAGTCTCTACTGTGGTCATTACCGCCTCTGCATTCTACGTCCAATCGTCATTCTTGAAACGGGACGTGGAGAGATATCATTCTACAGAAGAACGAAAAATGGCCCTGTCATGGGCTCCTACCAAAGCCGGGCTAGACCCAGAACAGCTCGTGAAGGAGACCCCGCAAATGGCAAAAGATATGGACTTTGCCAATGCCGTGATTGATGCATGGAATAAAGATGAAGCATCCATGAAGACGAATGGGATTCGCTCCGAGCAATCTAGTGAGACCACGAAGTTTCAATACCAAGATGCTTCGGATGGAACGACGCTCTATGGACATTTGATTCGACGAACGAATGCCAACAACAACGACAAAAAAGTTCCGGGTGTGTTGCTGTTTCATACCGGGGCTGGCCCTCACGACGTATCTCTTCTCTGGAAAGCGGATCTACTCGCCACCAACCAGGAAATCTTTCCACATGGATGCGTCATTTTGGTCACAGATATTCTGTCCGATGACACGGGGTGGGCATGGGGAGACGATCGTACCAAATATAGCCAAGCTCGGACCAAGGTACTGGATGGCAACAAATCAAGTTCGGGAGAGCGATTCGTGCTACAATCGAGGATACAAGCCGCTCTCAAGGGATTGCAGGAAGCTTCTCCCGAGGTTGACATGACCCGACTTTGCGCTCTGGGTTGGTGTCTGGGAGGCCACAGTATTTTGGAGCTTGGACGCATGAAGATTCCGGGTATGAGAGCCATGGTGACGTTTCACGGTGTCTTTGATGGGATCCCCCCTCCACCGCCACGGACGGATTCGGCAACTCCTGGCCAGACAGCTGACATTCTCATCTGCAATGGGGAGTTGGACCCATTTGTGTCGCAAGATACCGTTCTAAAGAATGCTATTGACACACTCAATTATCATGGCCACAGCGTCCGGCTGTTACAACTCGTCGGTGCCAGGCATGGTTTCAGCAACCCAGCGCAAGACTATAATCCGAACGAGGCCTTTGCGTACAATCACGAAGCTGCTCAAACCTCATGGGCAGAATGCTTAAAGCTGCTGCAGAAAACGTTTGCTGCATGATAAGTTCATTGTGGGTTTTTTAATTCAGCAATGGCAACAAAAGAAGTATCACGCAAAACGATAGCTATTACAAAGAGAAAACTCTTTGACGATTGGATATTTTAAATTCATTTACAACCAACCAGCTCTTGGTGGGCTCGATGGACTGAACAAATTTGAAACAAACAAAATATTCTGCTTTTCTTTGGTATGGACTCTTTCTCATCATAGATTCGAGACCACTTTGTCTTGTCATCAGATACCGGATCCAAGCCAGTGGTACCGGTAGTTTGTTGTTGATTAGTTGTTGTTTCATAGATAGCATGGAACTTGCTTGACTGTACGAACCAGAAAACAACCCTCGGATCCTTCGCTTTTACGTGTACTTTTGAGCCAGATCAAAAAAGCATGGATTGTCGTATTTGAATCTCTCATCCACCCATTACATGTATTACTATTCCTCCATGTATACATCTGCATCTTCATCTTGATCTTCCAATATTTCTTCATCATCCTCCTCTTCTTCTTCTTGCTCTTCAAAAAACTCGTTATCCTTCAAAATGATTTTTTCCATCTGCAATCGATCTTCCTTGACTTCGGGCAACAATTCTTCCAACCGTTGCAGGACAATATCGCACTGCGAATGTAGCGTCTGACAGGAATCCTTCAATGCGTCCATGGCCGTGCAACCGCTGTCGGCTTTGCATTGAATCCGAACGTGCATAATCGGTTCGCTGGGATGAGGTACCGAGTATCCGGCAAATGCCACACGAGCGTCTTGCATCAAAATGTGCCGCGCGGAGTTGCCAATGGTATGATCTTCGTCCCCAATCACAAAGGTTCGGCTGGTAGCAGGTCCTGTTCCTTTGACTTGAAAGCTAATGGGAGCTTTCTTCAACTTGACTTCATTGACGCTCATGGTAAATTCAATCAACTAATTTGTCTGTCGCTGTCTGCAAAGTGGTCTCTAGCGGTGCTACTAGCTAGTAGCTAGTAGATAGGAGAGTGATGGTCACTTTCGGAAAAATGAACCATCGGAAAGTTGAATGGCTGGATCTTCGACGGACGACGGTCGGACCACAGGACCTGTTTGACGTTATTCGGCACCTCAACAAACGACACCACCACACTACGAACCTAGCTAGAGCTACCAGCTAGCTAGCGTACCTAGCTAGCTAGGAGCACACCACGCGACATCGTCTTCTCACTTCTTTGCTTCTTTGCAGACAACAAACAAAACAAACAAATCAAAATGTCCGACCGAGGCACCCCCCCAGTGTCTCAAGAGGCGGCACTGTCTCCTCGTTCCTCTCCGACTCTGGAAGATGGTGCATCCGAAGCAGCGGCACCGGAACCACGCCCTGCCAAGAAGACCAAAAAACCCAAACGCAAGCGCAAGGCAGCGGATGCTACCCCTGCGGTAGGATCAGACCCCGCGGTGGAAGCTGCCATTAGTAGTAGAAAGAATAAAAAGACCAAGAAGAAAAAGGAACGCGATAAGGTAGGTGTGTTTGGTTTGGTTTGCTTTGGTTTGGTTTGTTGATTACTTCTACCGTATGGATGGGATTGTTTGGTTTGTCCTGATTTTCTGATTTTGCTTTTGGTGCTCTTCTTCCATGCATGGCAGCACCCCGAAAAGGAGACCAAAGCCAGCAGCAGTGCCGCTGCCGCTCCCAGTGAGCCTCCTCCGCCCGCCGATAATCGCAAAAAGCCACGCAAAAAAGCACCTCCCAAAGTACACCAGCAGCAGCCCAATAATAATAACTCGGACAGTCTTTCCGAAGCGCAAAAGACCGTCAATGAACAGATGCGCCGTGTCTTGGAAGAAGACCAGTATTCGGCCACTGGAAGCATCGTCGACACGGATAGTGAACATGAAGACAATCTCACCTATCGGGGAGAAACGGTTCGCATGGACCGATCGGCACTCATGGGAGCCATGCGCAAGCACCTTTGGATGGAACGACTGCATAGCAGCAGTAGTGGCAACAATACTGTCGTCACTCCCAAACCGGGTGACGACGAAGAGGAAAACGACAATCGCCGAGGACGCAAAAAGAAGAAAAAGGGAAAACGCAAAGAGACCCCTCCCGGTGACAATGACCACAGTCGCACGGTAGAAGAGGCACCTGTGGAAACCAGTCGTACCGCCGACGCCATTGTCAATCCTACCAGCATGGGAGTCACGGCTACAGAAGATGTGACTGATGAGTTTGATGATCGAGATGGAGGATCCATCTTTGGGCAGACCACTGGTTCCAGCAATGCCACTTGGGTGGAATGCGACAAATGCAAAAAGTGGCGGCGTCTTCGTGGTGTGGTGGATGAGAAAAAACTTCCCTCGAGGTGGTACTGTTCCATGAACAAGAATGACCCGGAACGTGCCCGATGCTCGGCACCCGAAGAAGAGTATGAAACTCCTCCTACACCCGAAAGTGCTGCGGATGCCCGCACTCGCAAGCATCTGCGTGTCTGGGTTCGGAGGCTACAGTGCCATGAGGCGTATGAATCACGACAACCCACTTGGACGCGAGGACGCAAGAAAGCCACCTCAACCTCCAAGGAACCCTATGAATGGGTCCGTTGCTGCAATCAGAGCTGTGGCAAATGGAGGGCCATCTTGCGCATCATGGATGCCAAGTCCGGTGTCATTGATGGGACCCGTGATGGTGAGTGGTACTGTGTCATGAACACCTGGGATGAAAAGATGGCCAGTTGTGCAGCACCACAGGAGAACCTGCCAGCGATTGGTTGCCCTGGTTGGGTCCATCAGGACGAAGAGTAGTAATTGGTGGCTGGTAGATTGTGGAGGCTTGCTTGTTGAATGGATTTTATTTGTGCCAATGAGGCTGGCTGATGGCCGGCGGTAGAGTTCTAGTAGTAGTTAGTTTTTAATGATTGTGTGAGCTACACATGTAGGAAGTAAATGCAGGTCTTTTCTTGCTAGAAAACAAGGAATGATTTCCCAGTCAACAAATCTTTTTGTTCGGCAGAACCAAGCCCAAAGATCTCGTGTAATCCTACTTCTACTTGGTGAGGAACATCTATCTCTTTAAAGAAGTTGAATGTGGCGCCAATCGAATTTCCATGGCAGATTGTCCCTGGCTGGGTACCAGGTACCGCTAAGTGTAGCCGCTCTCGCTTTGGAGCACTTGATTCTAATGGCTGTATCTGGGGATATCCACTAGTCTAATGTTTACATTCGATAATACCGAAGGCTTTCAGATCGCAAAACACCAACTTGCTATCTTAGTAATTAATTGTATGAAAGATGTGTAGTAGATTGTTCTCATTAGAAGCTTTGAAATTTTATATAGCACTTTAGGTACATGTTGTTGTTATCATTAGTCATTGGGTTGACCAAACTTTGTAAAATCATCATGCCATGGCAGCACAAGTGGGGATCTTGAAGAAGAAAAGATTCAGAAAGATGTCTTGCAGATCTTCTTGTTCCAATGTATCGGTTCGAACGTCAGATCGATGCAGGAAATCGGCCAACAGCTTGAACCGCATGCTAGCTTTCTGAAAGTCCAAAAGTTCCTCGTGAATGCGCGCTTGGTTGTTAAGAGCAGCGATAATAACATTGGAGCAGTCGAAGGATGTAGCGTGCTTCAATAGGGATATGCACTTTTCATACAATCGCAAGGCAACATGGAGAGATGATTCTCCAACGGTTCGACTCCTTTCGTGGTAAGTGAGCGCAAGGTTGAACAGAATGACTCCACCGTAGGGAGCAACATCTTCTTCTGTGATGGTCGCTTCAGGATTGAAGAAGAATGGCTTGGAATAGATGAAACCCTCATTTTCCTGTGGGCATCTTCTGGAGCTTTGCTCTTGGGACAACATGAGTGCTTTCATGTCCGCGTGTGGTTGGACGGCATTGAGAGAGGAGCAGGTGACAGACTCCAGAGCCATTTGGAAGCATTTCTGAGCTTTTTCCAATTGATTGGCAGCCAAACAGGAGGCCCCTGTTTGGTTCAATTGAGCTGCATTGACGACTTGGCGGTTCATTTTTGTGATTGTTGTTGTTGTATGTGGTTGCTTGTTGTTGAGATTGTGAGATCGTTTTTGTGAGCTTTGGTTTGGAAGAGGAAGAGGAGAGCTGTGCAGAGTTCGCTTTCTGTGAATGGAAGTGGTTGGTGTCCTAGCAAAGCGAAGGGCCGACCGGAAGAACAAACTGGAAGAAGAGAATAAAAAGCCTTGGGAACACACGATTTACAGACTGTCGCACGCAGGAGCATTGGGCATTGAAAAAGGGAGAAGACTGGATTAATACTTTGTAGTACAGCGTGTCTGCGTGTCTTCGATCTTTGATCAGAGAGTCCCAGAGTCTCAGAGACCATAGCCAGCAGGGGTAAGGCTCATTATCTCACAATGGCCTGGAGGAACAGGTTCCACTGCTGGTTACGAGTACCGTACTCCTAGACCGTACCGTAAGCTACGAGTATCAATAATATTATGACACAGTACTGCGCCTACTGGTAACACTGGAACCTTTTTGTGCGTAGCTGTTTTACTTAACTGCTTTCTCTGGCGGTATCGAGATTCTTTGGTACAGCTAGACTACCGATATGATAGCTGGCACCTCTCTTCCGTACAGTACTGCTAGCTGTGCTGCGGTAGCTACCGGTACGGTAGCCAGTAGTGAGTGTACATGGTACATGGGTACATATTTGGGCGGAACCGCGCTGTGGTCTGTGGTGGTCATACAATGTCATGAAAAGCTGAAAAGCTCATGCAATCACCTTCTTACAGGGCTTTGGCTTGGATGCTTGGATGTCCACAACCCTTGGCTCCGGGTATGCTGGTACGAATGACATTGTGGTGGCTGAAGTAATATAAGTATAAAATAAATATAAACGAAGCTGACTGGCATGGCCACCGTAGACTAGTACTGAGTACCAGTACCGTACGCTACTCGAGTAGTGATGAAGGGTTCACTGGGTGGTACAGCTGTCCACTGTCGCAATGAGGCCAAAAGTAACCGAAAGCTTCTTATTGGCTTTAAATCATAAAACCTCGGCTCAAAATGTCTGATGGGCCTCTCTAGCGAAGCCAAGAGTCTTGGTGTCTTGTGATTAAAACTTGCCTATTCGTATCAGCTCGTATTACAGCGTGAGGTTCGATCGCTCCAAAAGGACGAAAGGCGAAAGGCGATGTCGGTAGAGCGACATCTCTCGAGGCTCGACGTAGAGACAATAAGAGTTGTGGAAGTGTTGTGGATATCCAGGACTTGCAAGCGGATACTAGTAATTTAGTAATTTATTTCGTCAGGACAGGAAGACTTGACTCGACTCCTCCTGACTGACCTTTATAGGCCTACCTTCCAACTTTCCGTCACCTTCCACCCACCACCACAGAAGATGCCTGAGTTCCGGTCTGTTGAAACCTGCAGCAAAGACAAATAAATTAGCCTCCCATCTCCCATGACACATGACACGTACTAATAAGGTGGGAGAAACTATTAATAGCTGCTCAGCTAGCTAGCTAGCTAGTATCCTCGTTTCTCTGCAATTTCAGAGTGTCAGGCCCAACGACAACGATTATTGCCAAGGTGAAGGCCAAGGGCCAAGGCAAGCTAGACTAGGTACCGGTACTGTAGCTAGGTCATCATCTAGTGTGGTGGCAGTCCACGTGGTCCAGCTAGTGTTTCATCCCAATCCAAGCAGCCAACCACGAATCTAAATCCATGCCTTGATCCAGTATCTTCCAGAATGATCATGCATACTTGGTGTAAAAGAAATGTGGACCGGCTTCATACAGATCCTCATCAAGCTGCATTGGGTCAACCATTTCAAGATCATTGGCTTTAACTTTTTTAAAAAACCATGGCTGAGTTCCTCTTCTTGCCAAGTGACTTTGCCTTTTCAAAGACCCTTCTGGGTGGCTTCTTGAGCTCTTCTTGTCAGAGTCCGGAAAGGCAGAGTGCACCACCAGCCAGAACATACTAACATACTTACTTGGCCAACTGAAATACATGTACTCTGAGTAGATTGCTGGAGGCAATGCCTTGTTCTGCTTCACAAACTGTCTTCTTCAAAGGCACAACTACCTCACGCTCAGATTCAGTTAAAGTATAGCGCGGCTCAGCCATTGTGGTGGTCACGGAGGCAGATATGCTAGCCACCATGGTGCTAGTTGGAATAGTATTGTGTTGATCGGTTTTGTTAGATCCGATGAGAAAATTGTGATGTCTTCAAGCAGATGCTCAAAAGCTCCGTGAAGGTCCACTTCAGTATTCCTGTCTCATTGGCTGCTCTCCGCGGATCCTGACGACAGTATATTGCTTTCTACTATGTACCTACAACCCTGATATCCTCATTTCGAGTGCTCAACACCTGGCAAAGCCCTAGACTGGGCATACACGGGCCATCGAAGCAGCCTTCTCCTCTCAAATACCCTGGTGCAATGAATGGAATAGCACTCAGCAAACCCAATCAACCCTGCACCAACAGATGAGTACTACATGTACAACGAACCTGGTTAGCGGGCCTATCCAAAGAGACTATTATAGAAATGGAACGGAACAACCGCTGAGTTCCAACACCTTCCACTTGCGAACAAATGATCCTTCACCACAGACATGTTGCTGAACACTATCGCCTTCCTTGACTGCATCTTTTGAGTCGCCCTTGCTTAGAGTGCTGCAACAGTTCTTGTCCATGATTGCACCCACCAGGTGACAATGCACCAAACCAGGATTTGTACTGTCCAAAATGCGCCAAGCTCCAGTATCAGGGTCAATCTCACCACAAGCTGCAACGTAGCTTCCAATCACTCCCAGCAACTCTTCCTTCTTATTGCCACCATTGTCTCCTTGTTCCAAGGACTTGATAACTTCTTCCAACGTCTTGCCAACTTGGTCCTTGATGGTAGGAGTCTGCGGGGGACACCCCAACGCCTTTGCCAATTCTGCTGTTGTGGGACGACCAATGGCATATGCAAAACGATGTCCTGTCCGAACCCAATATCCGATGCGGCCGTTGTCATGTCCATTTTCCGACACGAGTTGCAATGCCATGAATGGTCCGGCGTGAGTTTCGCCGACGCGGTGCCATCCTTCGGCATAAGAGCCATCGTCTCCCGTCTCTCGCAAATCCACGGCACCGTTGTCTGCCATTGGCGAATACGAGGCACACACGCCAATATCGAGTCCGCCAGAAGGAGGCTGGTAGTCAATGTCACGTCTCCAGAAGCATGTACACAAGCCGAGCGCTGCTTTGTCATTTTTGGCAAGTTCCGCAAGAACCGTGTCTTTTGCCAATGCTTCTCCTTTGGCTTCGGTTGTATCTCCCAGGGAATAGGTCAACACACCCGCAAATGATTTTTGACGTGTCAAGATCGAAACATCCGCATTAGTACCGTCAAGTCCACCCGTAATGGCACGAAGTGCCGAAGGGCGTGCAGTCCGAGTCACGCCGACGGTATCCGATCGTCCAGGACTGTCTTTGGGTAGTCGAAGGTCAACGTAGATTCCGCTGACGGGTGTTTGCGTCCAAAGAACCAGAGTAGTCCGATCGGCAGACTGGGTGTCACCCAATGGATCTTCCTCAAAGAGGCGCGACCAAACTCCAGCGACAGGTTGGCAAGATGACATTGTGGTTGTAGTGAGGGATATTGCTGATGCTGATGCCAAAAGTAGATAATTAATAAAAATAGTGAGGTGACAAGCTTTGAACGAGATCCTTGTGGATACTTTTGCTCTGATGATTGTTGACACTACTTGAAGGCTTTGCATTTGCAATGTGCAATACCGGTAGCAGTGGATGATTGAGTTGGGTTTTGGCTTCGTTCGGTGTCAACGAGAGAAATCATGACACGGAGTCGTGCATTAAAGAAAGCAGCGAAGGCTGGAAAAATCCCAACTTTCAGGAAAAGTTAGCGATTATCGAATTGCAAGGGAGATTGAGAGATCTGCGTCTTCGATGGGTGACGTCAAGGCGGAAGACGCGCCAACCCGCCTCAAATGCTGGCTACGAGTGCATTATTATTTTATAAACGACACAATTGACACCAGCCATGCCAGCAGCTGCTGTCTGGTATTGTTTGTGTTGACTCGACGTTGCAACATGGCAGGGAACTACAACGCCAACATTCCGTCCTTACTTGGATTGAACGACGCCAATGCTGCTGCATTGGCTCAGCCTGCAGCTGGTGTTGTGGCTGGCACTGCCCGTTGCCCGTAGCCTCCAGGTCGTGACCAACGCGCGCGAGGAGACCAATGCACGAAAGAAATTGAAACGAGCTGACAATGCTAGTAGTGACGGACAACGAGATATCCGAAGCTGTTGTGCGCGAAACTGCGGTTGCTGTGGAGGTCTCGTCTGGCCTTTACGGCGCTGGCGGTGCCCCAGCATGGGCTGCTCCACTTGTGGGTCTTCCCGCCTAAATCACCGCCCTCACGGCCGCTTTTAGCATGTATGCAAGCACAATCTACAAACCGTGCTTCCAGTGGAAATGGGCAGCATCTAGCGAGCTTTCTGCTGTCGCAACCCCAGAAAAAGACGGCTGGAATTGGCCCTCCGCTCCCATCCCATCCCGGTGGTGCTCCGATGGCTGCAACCCTGGCAGGAGCTGTCCCAGCGGCTGTAGCCACTCTGTTCCCGGCGGGAGTTCAGGCTCCTACCAATAGCCATGATGTTGGTACTACATGTATGGCCCATGGCCAAATCAGTGCCCTCGCTGAGTGGGCCAATGAAACGTTTGGGATTGTCGCAGGTGATAACCTCTTCCTTCGTCGTTGAAAGCTCGGTCTTTTCTATGGTGTCTAATCAAGTACACTGTGCTGCGCTCGATGCTGTTTTGTGTGCTACCGCCTGCCGTAGCGTAGCTTGCTGTTAACATGTTGTTACTCGCTGCTGCTGCTGGCTTCAGTCGTACTAGTTTAAGGTGAATTACGAGGTTTACACGTGGAGCGTAGTAGGATTCCTACGTACTTTTCTTTGCTCACATCACACCTTCCGATTTCCGGTGTAAATCCCTAATCGGACCATGTCTAGTCATCTTATTGAGTTAATGGAATGTAAACTTTTAGAGTTAAGGGACGGCTCATTATCGCCTTTAGTGGATCCCATTTTCTAGTGACTGACGATCCCACAATCGAAGAAACGAAATAACAAAATAGGAAAAGAGTCCACGATGACGAAAAGCCACTGTTTCGAAGACCTTACGAACCTTCCCCAGCCATCGCGGCCTCAGAAGGAGTAGTAGGTTCACCATATTCGGAGGCCTGTATGGCAGCTTTGAGTGCAGCCCTTGTTTCGGGGTCCAAATTGGCCATGTTGTGTGTCACGGCCTTTGCCATTTGGGTCGCCGCGACACCCAAGGCAGTGTCTTTCATCTCCATGTCAATACCCTTTGCCTTCTGCCGCTCGGACTCCTCTTCAGGAGACCATGCGACCGCCGGCGCGGGTGGATCCTCTCCAGCCAAGCAAGCAATCATGAGATCCACCTTTCTTTGAGACGCAGGTTTTGGGCATCTCCGCCATTTCAACAGAATTTTAATTTGAGCCACTGTGAAGTCCTTGCCAGTCTCTACGTTGAAGACTCCCCTCTCCTGCAGCAGCAACTTGGCCGCCACTTCGGCATTGTAGGCAGAAGTCTTGGCCTTCTTTGTGTCTTCGAGAGCTTTTACAGCTTCATCACGCTGTTTCAATTTGGTTGCTTTGAAGAATTCATCGGTATTCATGTGTCGGCCACTGTGACATAGTGCATTTGCCCTGTGGTCTTTGCATTCTTGATACCATCAATCCGGGCTTGTGAATGGGCCTCAGTAACACCCACGAAAGTCTTCCTTATGGGAGCGGCAACTGACAATTGAGAACCATCCATCCCACTTGACGTCAAGAAGTCACAAAAGAACCTGTTCATTAATTCCTGTTCTTGAGCTTGGCGATGTTTCCTGTTGGATCTTCTTCCGCACCAGTGGCAGCAAGCACTGATGCAGCTCGGTCATCAGGAATTTCATGGCGCACATTGGGATGGTGGAGTGCGTTCCTAGTCAACGGTGCAGCTCCAACCTTCTTCCAGCATCGCCGGTTCATGCTGACAGAAAAAGCCTCAGAGAAGGCATCCCGCAGAACAACATCAGCCACGGATCTTTCCCACCAAAGACAAGCAACGTAAGTCACTCACTTGAAGGTTCTTATCCATGTCGAATCTTGCTTGAGACAAACGTCTAAGATTGTCCTTGTACACAGTCTTGAATGGGCCATAGTTCTGATCAGTTTCTTGTGTCGCCCCAGTTGTATTGGGTACACCAGGAATCAAATACAGCCCCTGCAATCTCAGATCAGCGAGCATGTCAACGTTGCTCCTTCCTGGGCCACTGTCCACCTTCACAAGAACTCTTTTGCCGGGTGTATCTTCTATATCCGGGTACAAGGTGAGTATTGCATTCTTCATGTACTTGTCTAACTCAATAGCATTCATACCGGCTCTCTCATTCATTCCAAAGCTGCACGGACGTTTTGTTTTGTATTCAAAGCCCCAGGTACCGACTGTATCTTTTGTGTGTTGGAACCAATCCACACAGATCCTTTCCCTTTCAGCTGATGTGGCTAATGTCTTCAACTGGAAGTGAGGAGGCAGAGGATCACCAGCGGCATTGCTTCCACAAATGATCGTGCATGAATAGCCACTCTTATTGACTCTTGTTCCTCCTCCAGCAATGTCCGGTGCATAGAATGTCATGGCAGGTCTCCCTCCTCTATATCCCGTTGTGTCATCCAGAGAGCCATCTGTTTCATCGAAGTTGATAATGCGGTCCAGTTGACCAGGGAAGAAGAACACTTCGCCAAGGAAGCCACCATTGTCACCGAATTGTGGATCTTGCGGTGTGCGGTCACGGCCAAAACCCAGCTCAATGACACTTGCTTTCCATGTGTCGAACCAACTGTCAAGGAAATAATGGGTCGTCCACAGAGAACGTCTCTGTTCTTGAACATTGGCTTTCCCAGCGATGGGAACTGGTCTGCATGTTCTTTCTTGATCTTCATGGTGAGGTCAGTTCTTGTCTTGTGGAAGCCTCCTTTGTTGACGCAAGCGTTGACTTTCCTGGAAAGAGCCGCAATAGAAGACTGCTTCGCCCCACCAGCCTGTTCAAGCTTCAGGTATGTCACGACTGCTCCACACAAAGCCTTCCATATTCTTTTGGGAAACTGACTTACTGGTCCTCTCTTCATTGGTGATGTTCCGACCAATCCATTGCGTACATATCTGGCTGCAGTCTTTGGAGCTACGTTGGAGTTGAACCTTTCGTTGATATCTTCAACGATGGACCTGATGCTCTTCCTGTTTTCTTGAGGCTTCTTTTTCTGCTTTGCGATTTGCGTGGTAATGATCTTCATGGCATCTTTGTCTCTTTTGGTAAGTTGGGCCTTCTGTGCGAGTGACTTCTGCACTTGTTTGCTGTGCGTCTATCCTTCTCTTTGGCTTTGTGGTATCCTCCTTTGCTGATACAGAAGCAAGAGCGATATCCATATCATCTCCTGCAACAATTGGGCTGTCAACAGAATCAGCAGGAGATGGAAGAGTGGAATCGCGAGATGCAGGAGTGCTTCCAGTCAGAGTGGTTTGGCTGTCACCACAAGATGCCTTCACAGCAGCAACGACCTGAAGAGGTACAGATCCAAGCCTCATTGATTTCCTCCTCACTTGTTGGTACCACCTCATGTTTTTTCTTTCAGGTGTGTTGAAGCCCACGATTTTCATTGCATGTGTGATCTTCAGCTTGCCTTGTGCTATAGCGACCATTCCAGATGCCTGCTCCACAAGGGCTGCCATACTCTTATTGTCCTCTGACATGGTGGTGAATGCAATGCGCCGGTGTTGAGCCAATTCAACACAACAAAAAATTGAGTTTCCTACAGCTTTACAACTGTTGTTGTTGTTGACAGTCGAATTCGAGAATTCCCACAAGTTAACAGAATGGCAAATTTCGACACTATCTAAAGGTACGAACGTCTATGTTTCTGTTGTGCAGTCATCTATAGCATTAAGACTACCTATCTCTAACTTGCGATCTTCTTGTTACTATTAAAATTTCCCTCCAGAATGCCGTCGGCATGCTCATGGTCGACTGCTTTTCTGAGCTTCAGAAAAGATGTAAATTTTGGCTGGCTCATAACCGACCGTAAACTAGTACGGTACGGTAGCTCTCGCTGTTGAAATCGCTCAAATTAAATCGTGTGGTACTTGATTGGTTGGACACGTCAGCAAAAATTATCCCGTCATTCCTGCCCGACCTAAACGTGGGTATGATAGGGAAAGTTCGACTATCCGGCCTCATGCTTTTCCAACACGAACTCATGAACTTTCTTGTTGAGTTGGATACCCACCAGAACTGAAGCAGCCCTTCGCATATTTATCCTTTAACTTCTTTTATGTACAGTTATTGGTTGAATTATTTACAAGGTCAACCCAAGTGTGGCTAGCCGCGCGAAATATTTGCTCCGTCATGATGTTGCCACTCGAAGTTGCACTTCCTGTGGAGTCATCATGGCCACCTTGACTTTGGTAATCATCGACTTACAGATGTGTATTGCTGGCGGTGTCAATTTAGTTCATGAAGTGCTCAATGATTCCCTTTCCATCAACCAACTCCTGAGCCATGAATCCCGCAGCAGCGAGCATGGCCAAGCGGCCGTTCTGGAGCTCCTTGTTTTGGAGAACCAAAAGCTCTTCGGGATCCTCAGGCTTCAAACCAAGGGGATCAAATCCAATGTCACCAGGGGTGTAATCAGCACGAAGAAGGCCTGGTTGGTCAACAGGAACATCAGCAGGATCAACCCATCCAATTTCAGCCCTTTTTTGTTCAGCAGCTCCAATTCCAGTAACCAACAAAGCCCAGAAGAGTGGTGGGACCTGAGCAAGGTGAGAAATAGCAGGACCAGTAACACTGGCATCCCACAAGAAGGAGGATCCTTCAACGGCTTCTCCAGCCAAGAAACCAATGGCAGCAAGCATTGCAACACGTCCATGGGTAAGCTCAGCTTCACGGTATCGCTTCAAAGTCTTCTCATCAGCCTTGGCAGCAAAGCCAAGAGGGTCCCAGATACCAACAGGCTCAAGAGCTCCGGGAATAGTTTCAACAGTGAAAGCAGGTGCCGCCACAGTGGCAGCCTTCTTGGAAGCAGCACCAAAAGGGCTGAAGGCACTGGCAGATGTGGCGAAAAGGGCAATGGCAGCAGCAAACTTCATGGTGATAGTGTTGATGAATTTGTTTTCAATTTGAATTTTGCTTGAGGTCAAGTCAATTTTGTGAGACAAGATGGATAGATGCTGGTCACCGCTCGAAAATAATTCTGACGTTCCAACCTCCATCAGCCGAGAGCCACGCAGCCACCTTCGGTGATTCATGGCTCCAGCATCAGCTTTCACCACGCCTACGGATAGATTCCACCCCACTGGACACCACAGTATTTTGCGGTATTGGATGACAGTCCTTGGCCACTGCAGGTGGCTTGGGGTCAACAAAGCTTTCACCGAGAAACACAGTGACTGACTCACTCGATCCATGAGAGTTGCTGAGTTGCTGAGTTGCTGGCAGCGGCAATGAGAGGAGCTTGACTCAGTGGTGCTGACAGACGTTAAAGCGGTACCAGTACACGTACAGACAGTACTGCACGGTACCGTACGGTATGGTACGTACGTAGTAAAAGATCCGGTTGCTGCATGGTACCGGTACTATTAATAGCTAGTAGAGCTGTTAAATTGCTTGGGGAGCCAAGACCGGTACCGTAGGGAGACGCCAAGCAGCACACCCTCAACTTTGCAAGTGCTGAGTAGGTACCAGTACCAGTACGCGTATCTGCTGGGCATTGTGGCTTGAATCCGCACAGCAACAATGCCAGGACTACGGCCAATTGAAAGGTGCTAGCCAAGGAGATGGTCGACAAATTATTTGAGCTATGCAGATGGTGGCAATTGCTTTTGATGGCTGGCTGTCCATCTTTTGCCAAGCCCCTCGCAAAAAGAAAAGAATGAAAAGCTCATACATAGAGTAATTTGCTTCCAAAGCCAGAACGGTATATATTGTAGGAGTCTACAGCTCGTAACTTCCTTCTCTTTTGCACCTTCCTCTCTCCTGGGGGAGGGTTTCTTTCACCTTCACTCAATAGAAAATGTTCGGAGCAGGCATAGAAGCAAATTGACACAGATGGCTCTGTTTCAGGGCACCCTATCTCTTGGAGAAGGATGAAGGATGAGGTGATTGGATGAGAAACTGAATCTTTCCTACCAAGATTCCACCCCAGGACATGACAAATTGATAGGCTTCATGACCAAACACATAGTGATACACGTTGGCCATTTCGGCGAATATGTTGCTAATGATGCCGTAGCCCTGTGCCCACCGTTCTTCTAGGTATTCCTTGGTGTCACGGTCGTACACTCGTCCTCGTGGATGACACGTAATATTTTCCCAGAATCCTGGTTGATAATTGTCCAACAATTCCAATCGAGTCATCCACTTGGCACTCTTCCAGCCCCACAAGTATGGGATATAGATTCGGGGCCCACCATGAGCCCAAGAAATTATTTCCGCGGGTGCATCTGAGTCCGTTCCGAGCCGAAGGATGAGATAGGAATCCTCGCTTTCTAGATCTTGTCGATCAATGGGGCAAGAATATCCATCGGCACAACTCTGATAGGCCCATTTCCATTGATTGGACTGACTGGGCGATAGCTTCAAGAAGGATAATACGTCTTTCATGGGCACGCCCCAAAAGGTCAGTCCTAGTTTGCTCCATCCCGTGACGCAGTGCCATGCCACACCGCCACCGTCACCACCATCAATTTTCTGGAAGGTAGATAATAGTTCCAGGTCCTCGAGTGTCACTTGGACTCGTTGATCCTTGTAGGTGACTTCCAACTCCCAGTCTGCGGAGGGTTGGGGAGGCGCAATTCCCAAATCGGTAACCAGCCAGTTGGGTGTCGAAAAGTTTCCAGGAGGAATGACATTTTCCTTGGCATATTTATGCTTCTCTCCGTTTGGTTGCTGTTGTTCAAACTTTTCCTTCAGTTTGAGCTTTTTTGTCACCTCCCGTTGCCCTTTTCGACTTAGGTTGGCCATGACATCCTCATGGTTGCTGTTGCTGTCTTTTTCCCGCTCTCGTAAGAAACTTGCAGTGATCCAAACAACTGCTGCTGTTGCTGCCGTTGTCGCACCCACCATCCAGATTCGTTCATTGGCAGTATTGGTAGAAGCCATGGTCAAAACTAAAATAATGGATATGCAGCTTGCTGAGGTTGCCTTGGGGTACTAGTATGTTCTTGCCTTCTTTGGTGCTTTCCCGTGTCCACTCTGCCATGACGGTTCCGGGAACTGGGCTTTGTGGGACTTTGCTTCCGACGTGAGAGAGAAAACATTTCACCACTGTACCGGGTACTATTCTAAGCTAATCGACCGGCTTACAATTGTACCGTTAATCCAGTCGCACCGAACTCATGATTCGATTCGACTCCAACAACTTGCTGTCGCTTCGTCTCGACGAAAGCATCAAACGCAGCCAATTCACAACGCACCCGAGCCCCTCTTGTTTTCCTTGGTCCTCTTTGCTTCGTAGAGTGGCAGTCGCCCACAATAATCCATCCAGGTCCACTCTGTTTGCTTATCGTTGTGTTTCTCTTTTGCCTTATACCAGTATCATACGCTCGGTAAGTTGCGTTTGGGATAGACGAAGCACGTTTGTGTTTGGTTCTCGTGGAAGTTGTACTGGGCGCTACGTGGCACTCACCTGGTTCCGCTTTGTTCTCTACTTTTCGTCCTCAGGTCCAGCGTCGCATTAATATTTCATCATGTTTGCCAATCATCAATATCAATACCAATACCAACAAGCCGGTGGTGGCGCGGTGTCCACTGGCGGCATGGTTTGGAATGGAAATGCTTGGGTTCAGGCGCCCGCTGCTGCCCAGCAGCAACAACCAAATGGTCGCAATAGCACTTTCTCGACGGCCTCCTACGGTGGAGTTGCTGCAGTGAACAACACTACTGCGGCGGAGACGCCTGCGGCCAAGGTGGCGAAGTACACGCAGTACTATCATCAGTGGAATGCTCGAGCCAAGGAGCAGGAACAGAACGTTCAACGGTTGCCTGGGAATTCGCCACAACGCGTGGAAGCTCAAAGGCAGGTCGATTGGGCCAAGTATTGGGCGGATCAGTCCAGTAGAGCTGCTCATCACTATCACTCGAATCCACACGTGGAGCCTCCGTTCGAACTTCCACCGGCGCCGCAGGCCTCCGCCGCAGCACAACAGCAACAACAGCAGCAGCAGGCAGTGCAACCCCAGAAAGAGTCACGCTGGTCTCGTGCTCCGCAGCAACAGGCAAGACCAGCAGCAGCAGCCAAACCACAACAAGGAGGTCCTCCTGATGGTTTAAAGAGGTATGTCCATCGATGCTTGGAAAAGTGCACTTCCGATGAACAGAAAAAGCAAGTCCAAAAGGAAACCGAACGTGTGATTGCCGAAGCTCTGCAGGACGGAACGTTGCATACCAAGAATTGGGATGCAGTCCCTCTCATCTCTCTGCCTGATTACTCTCGAAAGCGTGATTCCTTCTCATCGCAACAAAGCATCTCCAGTAAGAAACAAAAAGTGAAATCGAATACTGACATGTATTATGGTCACACTGGAGGGGGTCCAAATAATGGTGGATACTACGGCCCTTCATCCTCTTCTCCTCACCCTAACCCCACAGCTTCATCACCAACATCTCATCAACAGTACTCCTCTCGGCAGAAATCCAGTAGTAAGTATCAGAATCATTATGGCCCGGCCAACGAAAACGAAGATTTTATCAAAGTGCCCAATTTTGGCGTGAAGAAGGGAAGCAACAAGTATGTGAACCCCAACAGCGCCAAGAAGAAGAAACCCATGGATGACGCTGGATTCCAGCGGTCCTCTTCGACGATGGCCCAGCGTGCCAATCGTTTTTCTGGCCCTGGTGGCAATGCCGATGTGCGCCAAGCCACAGCCAAGGGCATTGACGCGCGGTACATGGGCAAGGGTGTGATTGGCGGATCCTCAAAAAAGCTCGATGAAACGGATTATGAACAAATGAAGGTGAAGGGAAGTTGTCGAAAGTTAGAAAAACAGTATCTTCGTCTCACAGCACCTCCCAAAGCAGAATTGGTCCGTCCCTTGGAAATTCTTCAACAGCACTTGTTCAATCTGAAGACAGAATGGAAGTCGAAAAAGACTCGTCGTGATTATTTGTGGTTTTGTGCCGAAATGAAGGCGGTTCGTCAAGATTTGACAGTGCAGCACATACAAAATTCCTTTACGGTGCAAGCGTATGAGTTTCATGCCAGGATTGCTCTGCAAGAGGGAGACATTAACGAGTTCAACCAGGCCCAGACGCAACTCAAGATTTTGTATGAAAAGTTGGATGATGCCAAGTCGCTGGAGAATGAAAATGAGTTTGTTGCGTACAGGATGATCTATTTCGTTGTCATGTCTCTCAACAAGGGGTACAAGGGCGGGTCTTCCGACTTGTTGAAACTGATGTTGTCTCTCACCTCTTCGCAACGAAATGACCCTGCCATCAAGCATTCCCTGCAGCTTCGTGCTGCCGTGGCGGAGATGGATTATCACAAGTTCTTTCAGCTCATGAAGTCGTGCCCCAACCTCGGGGGCATGTTGATTTCCCGTAGTGTTCCAATCATGAGACATTTGGCGCTCCAACGAATCTGCAGGGCCTACCGTCCTTCCGTTGCATTTGTGTTTGCATTGAAAGAGTTGGGGTTCTCGGTTGAGACAGCAAAGGAGATTGACGATGGTAAAAAGTATTTGTTGAGTTGTGGCTGTGTTTTTAATGATGAGGATGGCTCGGAGATCCAGACCAAGAACACTGTTGTTCGCGAGTCCGATTTGGAGGAGAAGCGTTCCCTCAATTAACTGCTCTGTGTTCGTTGGACGGTTGCTTCGTCTTACGATATATACGTCTTCCCCGACGTTGGTGCGCGAGCTTCTTTCTTGTGGCCGGTTTGATGGTGGCAGAGTCGCGGTGCAAGATAGCGCACTCGTACCTACATATTTTTTATGTATATATGACTAATAAAAGAATCTTTACTAGGTTGCAAATCCTCTTTTGGTGTTGCTCTTGGTCCCTGGTTGTGTGCACTCAAACTTGCAACGAAAACGCATGGGATGGTCGCTGCGGTCCATCCGCAATGTCTGGCTGTGGGTGTGGGCCTTTCCTCTTCTTTGCTTTGGTTGCTGGTCGGATGGCCTGCACAAAGCCGCTTCGAAAAGCCCACCAAAAGCCATCTTGGTGCAATACACGGCTCTTAGCCTTATTCGCGACTCGATCCTAGATAGGGTTTGAGTTCGACTCATGACCGAGTCTCTCGTGAATAGTCATTTGAGACAGGGTTCTCAA